ATGTGGCTCACTGAGGATAGGAAATAAGAAATATATATTTGGGCAATATAAAATGAACAAATATTTCTCATTTATTTATGATTAAGAATTAACTCATTCAAAAGCACAGTAATGCAGAGCTGCAAGATGCACTTAATGGAAATGAAACAATTGTCATTTTACATAATGACTTCTCTGGCTTTGGGATTGCAATATATAAATCAAACCATATGCCAGTCATTTTGAAAATATTGCCTGCTTTAGTTAAAGGCTCCCTTCTCAGAAGAGGACCTACACAGTCATTGAACCACAGTAATAACTAAAAAACTAGTATTTTGCCATCAAAATAAGGTTTTTAGAAAAATCATCCAAGATGACATGTCCACTTGTATGTTGGTGTGTAATGTGGGAGTAAGTAGAAAGATATACTTACCTGAAGAGCTCCCTCCTCAGCATCACCATCTTCCTGCCCCCATGCTTCTAATCAGCTCCTGGCAATTTCAATTGCCAAACGCTTCATCAACTGTGTACTCTTATGTATGCATAAAAGTGCTATAAAAATCTAATTCGTTTTTTCATGAAGGCTGGGTGAATCACTAGTGCTGCATAAACAAAGTGATTTAAAAGAACCCTAAAGCATTATGAATATGAACCTGTATTCCAAACGTGTTAGTGTCTATTTCCCTATTTAAAAACAGGTCTCCAACTGGTTTCCATATAAAATTCTAAAAAATTATTTTTCGTACCTTTTTCCACTGCCAATGCTCCCTTGGCGCTGCTCACCTCTCCCATGATGTCATAGAGTAAGCATGCCCTTCTCTGCTGATGTCCAATTCAACACTTCTCATAACAGAGCAGTGAGGACCCGATGCACATGCGCAGAGAGCTGTGCTCACCCAAGCTTCCACAAGGAAAGCATGCTCTCCTATTGGTTGTGATGACATTTTGGCATCAAACTAATATCGTGATTGTTACGGTACCTCCAGTAATAAAATGCCCAAACCGCCGTTTAGTGAATGCTCCCCGTTCGCAATAATGTGGTCTGGTAGCGTGTATAGTAAAACCATGCGAACCGCCAGCTAGGGAACACTCCAAACTCCCGAACGGTACCTGTACGGCTCTTTCCCTTTACAAGCTCCAAATCCACGAACTGCCAAGATTAACCGAACACCAATATCTTCCAAGCGGCAAATAATTCCAATAAGCAGTCTCTAGGCGCCGGTAATAAAATCCCCCCCAATAACGAGACCAAGCTCCGCTTTGAGGGTAAAACACGAACTGATTTACTGTGGGCTACCTGCCCGGTATTTATGCAGGTCTCCCACTTGGTGGACACTCCCCTAGGGGACCAAATGGGAGACTGAAATGACAGAAGGACATGGGGACATTTTGGACATACATCCCCACAATATTCCCAGCATGCATCACAGTTCCCTCCCCTCTGCTCGGGAGATAATTGGGAAGTAATTCAATTATCTCCCAGAGCAGAGGCAAATCGCCATTTTAAGTACAAGTCATAAAACACATAAAAATCCATAACTTTATAACTGCCGAACATATTGCATTCGTGTAACACATCCCCAGATAGCCTGGATCTGAGTGCATATTATTGGCGAATAGCGCTCAGATCCCATTCGCATTGTTCAATCGCCATGGAGTCAAAGTCTATTACAGTTCTCCGGTGTGCGATTGACTCCATGGGAAGGCTATCTGGGTTAAGTCCATTCGTGTTGTTGAATCTCCCGAACGGCCGGCATTCGTATGCTTTTGTCGATTGAGAAGGGGAGGTCGACGGCTTCAGCGGTGTTCGGCTGAAAAAGTGGCCGTTTTCAGTTCCATGAAATAACCGAACACCGCTGGTCTTTTGCATGGTTAAAATGGCCGCCGCCTCGTGGTCGACATACGAACGACGACCACCCAGTCTTCGGTTTTAATTGAGAAGTGTCTGTGGTTAACCGCAACGTTCTAATTGGGATCAATAGGTTAACCAGCAGCACACTTCTCTTCTGGGTGGCCGTCCGTTCGGTAGTTCAGTTCGACAAAAACCGACGTTCCCTTAAACAAAGCATACGAATGGGGAAACTCATGCAAACGGCAAAACAGACAAACACAGTACTTTCAGTCCAGACAGATGGGTCTGTCACAGTGATCAGGGGTCATGTGACCAAGCTCAGGTATGCCTTTCTTACAGCGGGATAAGTTTTACCCTTTGATATGTTAATAAGGTAATTCAATACCTTTACAAGTCAGGAAAGAGATAACCACTTCCCCCTATCCCATTCCTCCCTCTTCCTTCTTTCCTGTGTTACTGAGCAGACATGGGCTAATTTTTATCATGGTGAACTGTAAGTGGGATCTGATGACTTCATAAGGTTTAGTTGTTATTTAAGTAGACTGTGGTTGTTGTTGTTATTTTAGTTAGTTAGATTGTTGTTGTTTTGTCTCTGAATAAATATCTGTTAAAGTAGATAGACCAGAGTTTATTTGTGTGTGCGTACATAATTTATATAGTTTGGTAATACACCACATTCCACACTGGGGGTTTCCAGATCACGTGACCGAGCAGTATAACAGCCAGTAGAGGATTATTTACCCTGCAATGTAAACATTACAATTTCTTAAAAACTGCAATGTTTTACATTGCAGGGTTACAAGGACAGCAATGTTTTAAGGCTGCAGACTTAAAACTAAAGGGCCACTGCACCCAGAACACTTAATTGTAATGAAGTGGTCTGGATGCCTTTAGAGGTCCTTAAAGACACACTCCACTGCTCAAATATAAATAGGTTACTGTTTAGTAGATGAGGGAAAATAATGTAATTTCTGGTCTGGAGACAACCAGAAACCATTCCACTTTCTTTCTTAAAGTTCATGTTATTTCCATATATTCTATATCTCCTTGATGGTATTTTTTTTTTCAGATAAAATACACGTCACCTTTATAGACTAAAATTAGAATAGTGTTTGGGTAAATAACTTTTGTGTTAATAAGCCAATTTCAATGATATTACGTACAATGAATGCTTAAAGGGACACTATAGGCACCCAGACCACTTGAGCTCATTGAAGTGGTTTGGGTGCAGTGCCGCCTGTCAGTTTATCCCTGCAATGGCAATTATTGCAGTTATTGATAAGCTGGAATAATTCTATTGCAGGGTTAACTCCACCTCTAGTGGCTATCTACCAGACAGCCACTAGAGGCGCTTTTGGTTGCCTAATTGAGGCTGGACGTCGTCACGCTCAGCAATGAGTACATCAAGTGTAAGCTAAAATTTCATAGGAAAGCATTGATTCAATGCTTTCCTAAGGGGTTCCCTTAATGCAATCTCATTGCGCATGCACACTAAGTCCCATCGGCTGACGGTGGAGGAGCGAAAGCGCGAGTGAGGAGGGCACTATAGTTCTAGGAATACAATTTTGTAATCCTAGCCTATAGTTTACCTTTAACCCCTTAAGGACCAAACTACTGGAATAAAAGGGAATCAAGACATGTCACACATGTCATGTGTCCTTAAGCGGTTAAAGGAACACTATAGTGTCAAAAGCACAAACATGTATCCCACCCTCCATAGAGAAATAAGGTGTTTAACCCCTTAAGGACTAAACTTCTGTAATAAAAGGGAATCATGACATGTCACACATGTCATGTGTCTTTAAAGGGAACTCCAGTGCCAGGAAAACAATCCGTTTTCCTGGCACTGCAGGTCCCCTCTCCCTCCCACCCCCCAATCCTCGGTTGCTGAAGGGGTGAAAACCCCTTCAGTAACTTACCTGAGGCAGCGACGATGTCCCTCGTCACTGCTTCCTCCTCCGCCACCGCCGCTCCTCCTCTGCATTGCGTCGGCAATGCCGCGCATGCGCATTAGAGCTCCCCATAGGAAAGCATTGAAAATGCATTTCAATGCTTTCCTATGGGGAAATGAGCGACGCTGGAGGTCCTGACATAGCGTGAGGACGTCCAGCAACGCTCTTGCACAGGTTTCCTGTGCTAGAAACCAGGAAGTGCCCTCTAGTGGCTGTCTAGTAGACAGCCACTACAAGTGGAGTTAACCCTGCAATGTAATTATTGCAGTTTATAAAAAAAACTGCAATAATTACACTTGCAGGGTTAAGAGTAGTGGGAGTTGGCACCCAGACCACTCCAATGGGCAGAAGTGGTCTGGGTGCCTGGAGTGTCCCCTTTAAGGGGTTAAACTTCAGCTGCTCAAGTGTACGCAATTTGTTTACATACACCCGCTCGTCAGATATCCCCACAAGAAGTAATCAGGAGCTGAAAGATCCAGAGAATGTAGTGACCAATCATTCTGGGAATTTCTTGAAATTATCTGCTAGTTGTCTCAGGAGGTTTATTGTGGCCCTGGCACCACCCTGTTGAAACCACATTTCAGGATGATTTTTCCATACAGGCCATAAATATTTTCAATAATATCCCAATATTTCACACCAATAACATTCCACTATTTTCACTTCCTTTTTTAAATTAACCATGATGAATCTCCCAGGATTTAGTTATATTTACTTGCACACAAAAAAAATAAGTTCTCCTACTCTGAATTTTGGCCCACCCTGTATAACCTCTAACTATTTATAAACAGCCAGCGGTTAGCACTAGGCGGTGGCACTCCAATACTGTGGACTACTACAAACAGCAAGGTTTACTTTATTGAAAGTTAAAAACGTAAGCAGAACTACGTTTCCCAGATGCCCAGCTAGCTATTCACATGAACTTTATTCTCGGGACAAAAACCTAATCTGTGTTGCATCCAAACATCTTGTATACCCCCAACACCCGCACTTACTACCTGTAGTACATATGAAGAGAAACAGGTTGCAAAACTTGAGAGACGCGTTTCCATGGATACAGCACAGCTGTGTTCCCAGCTAATGGGTCCGCCGAATAAATGCGTGTCAAGCCTCACTTTAACTGGATCTCCTGCTTTCTGATTGGTCAGATGTGCCAGAGCGGTGGGAACGTTCTCTTCGGTGATTTCGTTGGTAGAAGTCTGTGCTAAGTAGGGAAGGGGGAAGATTGATAGGAAGGAACCATTTCCGGTTCTAGCTCTTGGGCTGAAAAGGTAGATTTCGGTGACAAATTTTCCATGACAGGGAAGGGGCGAGTACGGTTCCGGAGCCTGAAGTGAGAAGGTGGATTGGTGACCCGATGGTGAGGTGTGTGTGTACTTGGTCGATGTATTATTGTCATTGTAGTGTGTGTATATTATTGTCATTGTAGTGTGTGTATGCACGTTCAATCTATTTCTCTCTCATCCCCCATTCTCCCAAAATACTTCTTTGTTTTTGCGCCTTAATTTTTGTTGTCCTGTCTTCCCCCTCCTCTCATTCTGTCAGTAATAGTATTCTCTGTCTCCCATGTACTATCTAATCTCCATTTTATTTCTTCCCTCTTTGTTTTTCATTCCATGTGTATTCTCTTATATTTTTTTGCATGCATTTTAAACTGAGAAACAGCCTCCCTTATGTCAACGTAAATTACACGATACTTGATTACATGATATGAACAAATAGATTAAATTTAGAATTGAAGGGACTGCTCTTGCCATCTCACCTTTTATTAGTAATTCCAATAGTATTGCTTTTGCCTTGTGTCCTCACCATTGGTAACCATACAGTTTAATGTGTCGTTTCAAGAAGGAGGAAAAAAATAAATAAAAAAATGGGGAATTCCTATTGTCATGTAGATCTCCAGCTAAGTGCTAAACTAAACTATTAAAAGTCGTCATATGATGCTCTGTAGTCATTCTAGGAAAAGTAGTGTCTGAGTATGCTTGGAGTTGAAGTTTCAGGTTTAGGATCTCATGGAGAGCTACATGCTTGCTCTCATTGAGCTAAAGTATATAGTTTTTTCTAAAGGTTCAGCCTTGCTTATATGGATTTTAAAGACATACATAAATACGGTGTTAGATCCACAGTGTTTTTTCATTTTGAATTACTCCTAAGAGTATATTCACTAAATAGTGAACTGCAAACATAACATTTAGGCTGTGAATAATTTCTATATTCAGCAAATTTTTCCAAAATTTTGCAATGTAATTTACACTTCACTACAATTTGCTGCTAAATGAGTTAACCCTCTAATCTATACTGTTTTGGACTAGATCAAGTGTCTGCATGAGTATCTGCCCCATGTCCAGATTTTTAAAGTCAGATGCATGCACGCTGAAGAAATCACACTGACCACAAGTTCAGATAAATGAAAACTGTGTTTATTGGGGGCGGACACAGCCACTTAAAAAGGCAAAATAATGCATTGTGTTCAAGTATTAGGTATACACTTTTAATTGGCTAAGTGTTTTATCTTGATGTACTTCCTCCAAGGTGTGATATCATCATCATCATCATCATCGGTGTAGCTCTGGGTGGAAAAGTAAAATAAACCTGCTCACTGGGCCATTTTCTGTCAATATGGTGCCAATTTGTATTTGTTAGCAGCTTAGTTGCACACTTTGTTTAGAAACACCTCTTTATCACTTTAAGCATATGTGGTTTAACTTTGATTCCTCAGAATTCTGGCTAATGCAGCTAAGCTGCTTAGTTATAGAAAATGGCAGGGTAAACCCTTTCACTGGATGGTGCCGATTGCAGAATATGGACAATGTAGGCCAGAAAAAAAGTGTGTGTGTGTGTGTGTGTGTGTGTGTGTGTGTGTGTATAAAAATTAATTGGTTGAAAATCTTACATTGTGTTGCGACTGAATATATAAAGTGAAGGTGCCCAAAAGGTAGATTCCCAAATGTTGTAGAACTATACTCACATGATGCTTTGCATGCCTTTAGAATGACAAAGAATCATAGAAAGCTGAAGTTTTAAAATATCTGGGCACCCCCGCTAAAGTAGTCTGCATTGACTCTAAATTCAATTAATATTTGTAATTGTTTCATTTATTGTTAAATTTTCCTTTTTATAATCTTGTAACACACTGCAGAATAACTTGGTGATATGTAAATGCCGATTACAAAAAATAATAGTTAAGCTAAATCATATAGTGCTTCTTAATTCTGTCACTAAGGAGTCTTCATATACTATCAACTAAATTGCAGTTGGAATGTTGTAAATTCTCTCCGTGCATATTGATTTGCCGACTACATTTTATCAATGTTTTTATTGCATTTTAACTTTAAAATACTTGTATTGTCATATGGCTAAAAACTGTTCTATGCTGAATGTCACAATTTGGACTGCATTGCATGAAAATCACTAGGATGTTGAAAAGTGTGTTTTGTTTTTTTTTGTTTTTTTTTTAATATACAAATCTCATGCAGTTGCTATTCGAATCCCTTATCTGTATGTATCATAACTTTCAGATGCCGGAAGAATTGCTTCTGCCATTCGAGTGGATTATAAATGATCTAGAACTGAAGGCCAGGCGTGCAAAGACTAGAGGTGCTGTCTCCGGAAAATACCAACATCCACGGAGACCCTATGCGTTTATCTCATCCAGCACTGATTTTACGTTTGTAGTGAAGAATTCTCTTCACTGTGCATGGACAGAAAGCCAATGCGTAGGTAAGTATGGTGAATAGAGTAGAAGACAACTAGAGATTTTTATTATCAGTAGAGTGAATTTAAAACTAGATTCCAAAATTCAGGCTAAACAGCCAAACTAACTATTGCTGTATTAGAGATTTTAGCCTACGTATTGCACTATGGTTTCAGTTCATTACATTTTCAGCTGTTTTCAATTGATGGTCCAGCAAGCCCAAGACAGTCCTCCACATCAAATGATTTTATATAGGGGCAGTTCCTCCCCCAGTGCATTCATGTACTTTTCTAATATTGAGAAGGGTATAATGAACGTATCAACTAATTGCAATTACTAGAGGTCAGAAGTAAATCAAAGGCCGTGACTTATCCGTATATAATGAGTTTTTGCATTATTTTTTTTTTTTTTACTTCGACAATTTTTATTTCAGTTTTATAAGGGTACAGAATAGAAAGGGGATGGGGAACAGTGGTAAGGTAAGTATCGTCTTATACATTGACATGCATACCATTTGCACATTATTCATATACAACTTTTTTAAATATAAAACTTTTTTGTGTGCATGCTTTGTGTTTGTCTAGGTTTGTCTAGCGGTTTGGTCATTTTTCTACCGTAGGGAGGACTCGCGTTCGACTATCGGAGTTCAGTCATCTGTTTTTTTTTTTTTTTGTTTTGTTTCTTTGGTAGACGGTGCAGAGTATTAGTGTTTCATGTACCACTGGAAGGGGGGGAAACAGAGGAGAAGGAATGGGTTTAGGGGGTGGGGGCACAGAGGGAGATGAGGTGTAGATGTAAGGGGGAGGGGTGGTGGTAGGATTCTCCCAGGCGTTCGGCTTCTTATGGTTGCTTCTGTTGAGCATTTGTTTTTTCAATTGTTATTTTTATTTACCGCGTTCTCATTATTTACACTTTTGTTTTCAATTACATTTCTCATTGTCTAAAAGGGCACAGCTGTCGGTCTGTAGGTCTTTGCCACAGCCTCCTATTTTGAGGGCCCAGTGTCTTATTTTGAAGGCACAGTGTTACGCTCCATGTACGACTGCCAGTTTTCCCAGGCTTGTGACCAGATTTTTTTGGAGTGACTTGATCGTCTGGTTGCCTGTTCATAAAGCTTAGTTGTTTCTATCGTCTGTATACATTCTGTTATTGTGGGCGGTATAGCAGATTTCCAGTGTCTACTAATGATTGTTAGTGCCGCCATTAGTATGTGGTAAGTTAAATATTTCTGGCTACCCTGCATTCCCTTTGGGAAAAGCTGGAGGAGGTACGTTTCTGGCTTGCGGGGTAGAAGCATTTTTGTGCTGTCTTGTATTATGGTAGTTTGTTAGGGAGGGGCAGTTCCACCATACATGGAGCATTGTGCCTTTGTGTTGTTGGCATCTCCAACAGATATCGGATGCTTGTGGGTATGTTGCTTTTATACGTATAGGCACTAAGTACCATCGGTATAAGATTTTTCGGGATAGTTCCATGTGGGAGGCGCATTTGGAGAGTGAGTTATGTGCAAGTAGGATTTTATTCCATTGCTGCGCATCGAGAGTATATGTGAATTCCTTCTCCCATGCTGCAATGAATGATAATTTTGTGTGGTCTTTTTGAGTGTGCATCATTCAATATAGTTCGGATATGGTTTTTTTTTTTTTTTTTCTACTACCATCAGCTGTTGCCCTTGTACATTATCCTTCCTATTCATGGTTTGCTTGCTGAACCATGAGTGTAATTGCATATAAGAGAATAAGGCCATTGGGGTCAAGTGGTAAGAGGTTGTTAGATCCGTGAGGCTTCTAAGTGTATGTTCCTCCAGTAGTTGGTGTAGGTGTGTTACCCCATGTCGGTGCCACAGAGTGTAATTAAAGTTTGGTATCATATAGTGTAATGCTTTTATAGGGGTGGCGGGCGATATTTTGCCCGACCAGCCTAATGTGTATTTGTCCCATATGGACAGAGTTAGAGCTGTGGTTGGGAGCAGTTCGTTTGTTGCTCGCCTGCTGTGTCGAGGGAGCCATGCCAGTATAGTAATGGGTATATTGTTAGCGTGTTGTGTCTCCAGTTCCATCCATTGTGTTGGGTTGTCCCGGTGGCACGCCGCTAATAAAGGACCTAATATGGCTGCTCTGTAATAGCTGTCTAGGTTGGGTACTCCCATACCCCCTTTCTTGCGTGGCATGTATAGTGTGCTCTTCGCCACTCGCGCTTTGTTTGTCCCAGATAAAGTTTAAGCAGTGTTTGTTGCGCGTCTTGTAGGAATTTGGGTGGTATTTTTATGGGTAATGTTCTGAATAGGTATTGCAGTTTTGGTATGACTATCATTTTGACTGCGGCTATTCTTCCTGACCATGATATAAATTTACCTTTCCATCCTAGCAGTAAGGGTTTTTTGTTTTGTTTCGGATAGTGTTTTTTGGTAGTTTGTTTTGTAGAGATTTGCTGACGTTTGGGTGATATTGATTCCTAAGAATTTGAGGTGGTCATTGCGCCAATCGTATTTGAAAGAGGCGCTCAGCCTGCTCATATCCTCGGCTGGGATGTTTATACCCATTGCCTGAGTTTTATTAACATTGAGTTTATAGTGAGAGCATTTGCTATATTGGGAGAGCGTATTATGAAGGTTGGGTAGGGATATATGTGGCTGTTCTAGTGTTAGAACGTCATCTGCGAATAGTGAGTTTATGTTCCTTGCCTTGTCTTGTGATGCCATGTATGTCCGAGTTGTCCCTAATGAGTTGTGTGAGTGGTTCTAGGGATAAAATGTAAAGGAGAGGTGATAGTGGGCAACCCTGTCTCGACCCGTTGGTTATTTCAAATTGTTTTGAGCTGAATCCCCCGTTTGTGACTTTCGCTGTCGGATTGGAGTACAGCGCTCCCACCAGTCTTAAGAAGGCGTCCGGGAATCCATATTTGATCAGGACTGCCCGGAGGAAGGGCCAGTGCAGTCTGTCAAAGGCTTTCTCAGCGTCAAGTGATAAAATGACGCACTGGGCCCTTTCCCCCCGCCCCCCCTGCAACAGGTCTAAAACCTTTCGGGTTCCATACGCCCTCTGCCTGCCACTGACAAATCCCACCTGGTCCTCATGTATTAGGGTTGGAATAATGTTCGTTAGTCTGTTGGAGAAAATTTTTGCTAGCAGTTTGATGTCCGTGTTAAGATGGGAAATTGGTCTAAGGTTTTGGCATTTCGTAGGGGGTTTTCCTGGTTACGGCAAGGTGGCTACGTGTGCCATGAGCATGTCCTGGGAAATTTGGCCCGTTGTGAGGCCATAGTTAAAGGCTTTTTCTAGATGTGGGGTGAGGATTGTGGTTAATGTTTTATAGTAGGAGTTTGTAAATCCGTCGGGTCCTGGTGATTTGCCATGGGGGAGTGAGTGTATGGCTTGTTGTATTTCCTCCTGTGTTACTGGGTCTTGCAATATGTTTTTCTGTTGCTCTGTCAGTGTTGGCAGTGAGGACAGTTGGAGGAAGCTTTGGATTTCCTGGTGTGTGCTTTGGTGTAGGTTTGGGTCATCTTTAAGATTGTATTGTGTGTGTGTGTGTGTGTGTGGGGTAGTAGTTTGCCATGGTGTCATTAATGTCCTGTGGGTTATGGATTTTAGAGCCTTTGTGTGTGAGTAGGTATGGGATTTTTGCACTGGATTGTTTATGGCGTAGCAGTGTTGCTAGGTGCTTCCCTGCTTTGTTGTCTTGTGAGTATGTTTTCTGTTTCAGTTTTTGTAAAATGTGTGCAGTTTTGGAGATTGCCATGTTGTTGATGCTTGTTGTGGTATCTTTTATTACCTGGGCTAGTTGTGGTGAGGGGTTTGCTATATTTGCTGCTGTCGTATCCCTCAGGGTGCGCAGCAGGTGTAGGTGTTCTTTTTGTGCTTTCTTTTTTAGGTAGGAGGCTCGGCTGATGAGAACTCCTCAAATGACCGTCTTATGTGCTTGCCACACGGTGGTCGGCTGTACGTCTGGGGTATTATTGTCATGGAAGTATGATTGCAGTGCTTCTGATAGTGTTTTGGAGAATGTGTGATCACCTAAAAGCGAGTCATTCAACCGTCGTGGCGGTCTCCCTCTGTGTTGGAAATCCTCAGTCAGCTGTGCCATGGTTGGGGCATGGTCTGACCATGTTATGTCCCCGATCTCGCTGTGAGCTACTTTGGAAAGTAGAGGGCCTGTAAGAAGGATGAAATCTATCCTTGAATACGATTTGTGTACTGCCGAATAGAAAGAACATTTTCTCACTTGGGTGGAATGCCTTCCAAGAGTCATACAGGCAATATTCTCCTAGCAACTTGTTGATTGCCTTGCTTTGTGAATTAATCATTTTGTGTCTTGGTGTTGTGGTTTTTAGTGTGGTGTCCTTGTGTGGGTCGAGGGGGTGGTTGAGGTCTCCGCATAGTATGAGTGAGGCAGTTTGGTGGGTTGGGATTGTGGAGAGCATCTTGTGTAAACAGTTTCGCTGATGTACATTAGGAGCATAAAAGCTGACTATAGTGTATGGTGAGTTGTTTAAGAGGCATTGCAATATCACGAATCTACCTTGTTTATCTTTGATAACGTGTAGAGTTTCCACTGTTAGGGATGAGTGTAGAAGGATGGAGGCCCCTCTTGATTTAGACGAATGCGTTGCATGGTATTGGTGGGGGTAGTGCTGTGCGTCAAAGTTGGGCACTCTAGAGGTAACAAAATGAGTTTCCTGTAGACCTGTAATGTCCGCTCGATTTTTGTTTGGCTTTCTCTAGTGCCATACGCCTTTTATGGGGGATGTTTAGCCCCCTGCAGTTGTGTGAGTATATTTTCATGTAATAGGTGTGTGATAAGCGGTGCTCGTTTGTGGTTTCGCGGAGTCTGTTATGTTGTGTGTGTGCAGTGGCGGTGTTATGTGCCTTGTAGCATGCATCTGCGCGACTGCATATTTGTGCCCGGGAGTAAGAGGTTCAGGAGAGGTGGGGGAAGGAAGGGGTAACAAACAAAGTATATACAAACTGACCCAAACGTGGGTCTTGGCACTTTGGCATTGTGCCATGGGGGATGGACGCCTAGACAGCGTCTCTAGTAGTGTGGCCATTGGGCTCTTATAATTACACATTTTTATCTTTCCTCAGAGCTGTGATCCAGTGGGCATGTGATTAGTGTGCATGTTGCTAGTTTGCTGGCTAGCGTGTATGGGTGGTTTAGGGTATGCCTGTACAGCATTTTAATCCATGTTTGTCAGGTGCTGAGTATAACTTGAGCTTTGCCTAAGTGGCTATCTTGTTGATACAATATTTTATTTTCAGCTTCTTCTATTTAGCGTGGCATGTCGTGCCTGTTATGGTGATCAGTTCTACATAATGCCTTTTTGCGGTGCTTATTGCATAGGCTGTGGGTGCACTTCCCTTAAATCCCGTAGTATATTGGGGGGGGATGATTGCAGTACACTCGGCCTGCTAGATCATGCAGTAGGTGCTTCTGTGATGTGGTTTACAGATAACGTCTCATGCATAGTGATCTGACGTTCTTTGCATCATTAGGTTACAGTCATCATATATGCACAACATCCGTTATTACAGTTGACAATAGACTTCATGATTACCCCTAGCCCTCTGGGGTCCCCTCTTTCTACTTGTGCGCATATGATACGGGCTCTCTCCGTTTCCCAGAGTTCTCCTTGAGTATCATATTGTATGTGTTGTTATTTAGCTATCTAAACATATTATATGCTAATCAAAGCAGTTAACCTCGTTTGAACTGAAACAAGAACTATGAACATGACATTAGTATATGTGAATATCTCACGTGTCCCTGGTTTTGGCTTTGTCAGCCGAGTTCACCGAAAGTCACGGCGATTTGGCTTGTGCTGGGGCTTGGCGCCATTCTGGTATCAGTCGCTTAGTTGGGCTCATCTGGGTTTCATGGGGGGGGATCTGTAGCGAGCCCCCATTCTCTCAGGGTCCGGGTGCCTTCGTCTGGTGTGTAGATAATTTTGAGCTTGCTGTTTTTCGTGATTAATAGCTTGGTGGGGTATCCCCAGCGGTATCTAATTCCTGCGCGGCGCAGCTCCTCAGTCACCGGGTGAAATTCTCTTCTGCGTTTAAGGGTTGCCGCGGATAAATCTGCCAGTATGTTAACTTTTGCATAGGTCCCATGCGGTTCTGTGGAGTTTCTACTGGCTCGCGACACCGCTTCCTTTATATGAAAGTGATGATGTGCTCTCAGTAGGACATCCTGGGGGATGGAATCAGGTAGGTTGCGTGGTTTGGGCACTCTGTGTACCCGGTCCACTAGGAGCATTTCTGTGGGTATGTCCGGAGCGTATTCCCGCAGAAGGCCCTGGGTATAGGCCTGTAGATCATTCGGCAAGATGTTCTCTGGGACTCCTCTCAATCTGAGGTTATTTCTCCGTGAGCGATCTTCGGCATCCGCCATGCGTGTTTCCATTATTGCTATTTTATGTTCCAGTGCCGTCCCATGGTCAGCCATGTCGTTATGTGCTGTGGCATATTCGCTCAGTTTGTTTTCCACGTGTGTGGTTCTGCTGCCAATGTCCTGGACCTCCTTGCGGAGTTGTCCTATGAAGGATTGCCATGTTTTAATGAGTTTGTCAGCCATGTTGTTCATCGCCTCATCTAAGTGTGATTTGGTCAGGTTTTCCTGGCTTTCGTGTGATGGGCCTGTGATTGTGATGTTTCCCGCTATTTGGTCGTCAGCGCCATCTTGATTTGGGCCGCGGTCAACTTCAGAGCTGCTCGCGGTTTTGTGGGTAAAAAAATTCAGTTTTTCATTTTTCTGTGCGTTCTTCTTCCTTTTGGGATTTGACATCATGCGTTTTTGATATGTTTTTTTTAGTGCCCTGGGAGGCGATGTTGTCGGATTCTGAGAGCCCGGGTGCCAGAGCAATTTCCTAAGCAGCCAGGTTGCTCGGCAGTTGGCCACGCCCCTTCAGTTTGCTTTTTAATGTTCTTAGCCTCTCATCAAACTCCCTATTTTCATCTCTTAGAGTGATATCTTTAAATATTGTTAGACTGTTTATATGTGACATTTAAGACATTATACATTAATTTTGTCCTGAGTACATTTATTGGCCATCTATCCAGGAAGCTCATGGGCGCCCTTTTTAAACTTGGTATATTAACCGATTAGTCACTTTAAGAGATGCAAGTTTCCTATTTATTGCAGAGCTTCTACGTTTAGACATCCGTCATTGAAAAAGACAATTGTGATCATCAAAAAATATAATCCATTTAGTTTCTAGAACTATTTGTTATTTTATTGATTAATGGAAAGGTTTGAAGACCTGTATTCCTGACCCTATAGTCTTAAAACCACCATTTAGGTGCCATTCCCACCCTTAACCCCTTAGTGGTTAAAACATGCCTTAATTCCTGCAACACTCCGCGCGGAACAATGGCCGCGAGATTTACACAGGGGAGCTGAAGGGAGCTGCTGGGAAGGTAAGTAAGAGCTTGCTGCGGGCCCCCACTGCACAGTCCATGCCATTGGACCACCAGAGAATGCTATATTCCCCCTTCCCTGGCCAAGTATGAAGCAGGGAGGGGGGACTTAAACAAACAAAAAGCTAAATATTTAAAAATAAAAATTTAAAACAAAATATGCCCTCCCTCCCCCAAATTACATACCTACACAAACACACAATCTGCATTAATTATATATACACACTGCATTCACTATACACATACTACACAAACACACATTCTGCATTCAGTGTATATGCACACACTGCATTCACTATACACACACTACACAAACACACACACACTGCATTCACTATACACACAGTGTAGTGTGTGTGTGTGTGTATAGTGAATGCAGTTTGTTTGTGTAGTGTGTATAGTGAATGCAAACACGCTGCATTCGCTGTGCGCGCGCGCTGCATTCGCTGTGCGCGCGCGCTGCATTCGCTACATGTGACATGTATATTTTGTGCCTTTACCTTTTAGAAATAGTTTATTTTTTCGAAACAGTAAATGTACAGAATATCGGTAGGTTATCGGCTATCAGCCTGAAAGTTCAGAGTATTGGTATCTGCTCTAAAAAATTAATATCGGTCGATCCCTACTTTCATTCTACATTAATTTCTCACTTTCTGTTTAAAGGATCACTATAGGCACCCAGACCACTTCAGCTCAATGAAGTGGTCTGGGTGCCAGGTCCATCTAGGATTAACTCTGCAGCTGTAAACATAGCAGTTTCAGAGAAACTGCTATGTTTACACTGAGCGTTAATACAGCCTCCAGTTGCTCTCACTGACAGCCACTAGAGGCCGCTTCCGCGCTTCTCACTGTGATTTTTCACAGTGAGAAGATGCCCGTGTCCATAGGAGCATTGAGAATGCTTTCCTATGGACTGACTGAATTTGCGCGCGGCTCTTGCCGGGCATGCGCATTCAGCTGATGACGTCTGAAGGAGGAGGAGAGTCCCCAGCGCCGAGGGAGCCCGGCACTGAAGAAAGGTAAGATTTTAACCCCTTCCTCCCACTAGAGCCCGGCGGGAGGGGGACCATGAGAGTGGGGGGGGACCTATTAACGCTATAGTGCCAGGAAAACAAGTTTGTTTTCCTGGCACTATAGTGGTCCTTTAACTGCACCCATATATTATATTATATTATATAATTTTATTTTTTAATATATTTATTTTATTTACTCTTTCAATAACCTAGATTTATAAATAAAACCATAGTAAATTTGAATAAAATCTTTTTAAGGGGGGGAAAAAAAAGAGAACTTTTTCCCTTCATTTTACCCTTAATCATTTCTATACAAGAGAAACTAAATCAAAATATATTCTATAATTAGTTCTGATTTGATAAAATGTCTAGGATTTCAGTTAAATTTTGGAAGTTGTAAAACAAGTCTTACGTGTAAATTACTTTTTGGTTTTTTTTTTTTAAGCAAAAATTTTTGCAAAATTTAGCATGCTGAGTTTACAACTTTTATAGTAGATACTGAATCTTAAACCACTTCCCAAAAGAATATATTTGTAGAAAGTGCATCACCCAGGCTATTTAATGAATAACTTTTCATCACTAAGCTCTGTCAATATATGTATTTATTTTTACATGTTATTTTGGGATATTTTATAGACCATGAATGCTCCAACTACTCTAAACACCACATATTTGTATTCTGCTACTTTTCCCTATTACAATGATATCAAACATGTATACATATTCCCATAATCGTAGCTCTGAGGGATTCCCTCTGCTGATGACGGCACTGCGGCCTCTGTGAACTCTCTGTACTGTTTGATGGCAGCATGGAGAGAGTCTTTCTCATGCTCCAGAAACTGATTACTGGTCTCAAAGGCATGTAGGAAGAATTCTGCATCTTTTCACTCATAGTGGAGGGATAGTGGCAGGCTGTGGGGACACTAAATATTTTAAATTACATTGTCTGTGTGATCCTGCTCAGCCGCATTATTTAAAGGGATTAAAAGGCTATATATTGCACACCTATCGTTCTGGGGGCACTATTTGTGGCTATCGACAGAAGGGACCCATGGGCATCAGTCTAAAGCATGGACACTCTGCAGTGGGTCTGCTAATATAAAAGTAATCAGCCTCATTAGCTCTCCAACTTTAAACAGTAGTGATAGACTGTGCACATTAAGGGTAAAGTATTATGATTATGATTTTTATTCATTTTTTTTGTTTTCTATTCGAAGCGGCAATCTCTGCACCTTAATCCTCATATTATGCTGTAGTGGTTATGGTGCCAGGTGGCATTCAACTGTAGGTTGTGAATCCATTGTTGTACAGATTGACACTTGCCTAGATGCCCAAGTACCTTCAGTCCATCCTCATTTTTCCACTTTTTTTTTTTTTTTTTTTAATAAAGAAATTTAGTCCACAAACTCTCGGCCAATGAATTTTGTTCAAATTGGAATTGTTATATCTAATGTGAAAGGGGAACTTGCACTTTAGATATACCAAAAAGGAGGGCAAACCATACAAAAACTGTTTGACTACTTACTGTGGAATGACTCCTTGTACCATAAGTGCTACAGCAAACTGTAAAGGTTATGGTGACTAGACTAAACCTTATATTTCTAAAATTTCATCATCTCTGAAATGTCAGGAACGAGACCCTGCCTAGCACTGATATTTCTTCTCATACACTGTTCTATATTTAAATGTATTTTAATGTTTTCTGCTATGCCAAGGATTGAGGCATAGTGGAAAGCCTTTCCGTCTGCGAGCTGTAGATAGAATTTCACTTTGCAGCTGCTATATGAGGAAATGATAGCCCATGAAAACGGCCCTTTAAGTCGTCCCATAGAGCCATTTTTCTAACTGCTTTAGCTCCCTATAGCAATTTGTTTCCGTGTCGCATCGTGAAAATAGAGCCAGAGAGAAACACAGTGATGCCAGATATCATAGCGTGGTAAATTTACTTGGTGTTGAGACTCACATAATCATTTTTTTTTTTTTTTTTAAATAAACTATTGGTGTACAGTTGCCATGCTCATTAGTATTGAGCAGTAGAACTGAAGTGTTTGTGGTTTGCATGGATATCCTGTATAACAACTATCCTTGTAATTAATTGTCAGCTGTGATTTTATGCAGATCTGCCTTATTCTTTTCTTGATGTCATTGTTTCATGTTCAGGACTGTACAAAAGTGCAACTATACATGCAATCTCACAAACTGACTTTATATTTTAACCATGCATTTAGAAACTTCTTAACACCAATCTTTTATTCTCAATGAAAAAATGATATTCTCCGATTTGTGTGCACAGGGCTTTTGAGGTTACCTTATTGTGGTATATTTTTTTTTTTGCAGTTTCATGTTTGTTTATTCATGCATGTGTTTTATTCAATTTTGCATTTAATACATGTATTTCAAAACCCTTTTGTAACTTTATATTTCACTCTAAACAAAGTAGATAGTTTGGTGTGGTGAAAGCCCAGGTGACATTTATTTATTTTATTTATTTATTTTTAATTTCTAAGATAGAGATACTTTTTTTTTTTTAATATAAATTTTATTACAATGTTGGTTGAACGATAGATATTGATAAACGTCTGCACAGTTTGGAGCCTAAAAGTGGTACAGCTTTAAAGTTCTATGTACTGAAAAAAAGTTGTGAACTAGCATTTTCTGTAGCAGTTGTTTCCTGGTATCTGTGATTTGTCAAACATTAGATTTTGAAATCTCACTGTTTTGAAGTCTCCCATTCAAATATTTACCTGTAGTAACAAATGAATACAGGCTATCTTTATTTCTCATTTGCCTCTATATGTTCTGTTATGGTCATTGTCCTTGTCCTTCTCTCCCTCTTGTGTCTTTTTGTTTGTCCACTATACTGTTGTGCCGATTTCAACTCCCAAGTCTGCCATCCTAACCATATGTGAGGTTTGGAGCTTCAGTGAGCCGGATTGCTGCATACATGTAGGAATTTATAGTGCTTTCCTTCTGTTTAGGACAACAAAAAACGTTCTAGTTACCTCACATGCCTGTCTCTTGCTCTCTTCTAAAGGGCTCCTAAAGGACTTTACTCTCTGCTTCACTCCCACCATATTTGATTGGTATTTCCCTTCCTAATGTGTTTTATATCCCCCATCCTATGAGACTGTAAGCTTGTTTGAGCAGGGTCCTCTTCAACCTATCGTTCCTGTAAGTTTTCTTGTAATTGTCATATTTATAGTTAAAGCGCTATGGAATCTGTTGGCGTTATACAAGTGGCAATAATAATAATAGTTACCTACCATTTAAAAAAAAAAAAAAGGGCAAAATACTTATCTGTTATGTGGTTGGAATGTTGCCATTCCAACTGTTAGCCATTGGTAAGTGAAACTAGCACTTGTAAGCAGAGATTCACTTGTTAGAAGACTTGGTACATTATTATTTTTGCTGTATTTAAGGCTTATGTTTTTAAAGTTCACTTGCAAATTACTACTTTAAATTGGCACCAAAGAGGGGCAAGTTCATGACAGTGTTGACAGGTCTTAACATGGACTATGCTGTTAGTACAGTGATCTTCCAGACCCAAAGAAAGTTGCTAACCAAGTAAGATTGCAGTATGAGTAAATGTTGTTATGAAGAAGAGTGTCAGAGTATTTAGCAAACCAGGTGGAATAAATTTTAAGAGCCATTATAGCAGTTTGCAAAAGCAAAGATTTTTAAATAGCCAATACATTTTTAAATATTTTAGCTTATTGGTTCCTTGGTAGAATGTTCATTTATTTTGTGAACAGTTTACTTGTTTTGGTAAAGGTTAGATTGGTCTGCTGGGGATACTAAGGTACAGTACATGCCAGTGTTCTCTATTTGTGTGCTGCATTGCTTCTTTTAATAGTATCTGCAAGTAAATCTAAAAAAAAAAAAAAAATTCACAGTAAAGTGTATATATGCATGTTTTTAGCTTGAAGGAAAATATGGCAGAAGCGATTGATTTTTTTTTTTTTTCTGCATATACTAAGAGGAAATAATATCCCGGAATTGGCTGTTGCTTTTTATGGAGATGGTATGTATTTTTTATGGAATTTTATGGAATCCATTTCATGTGTTCAGTAAATTTTAATCTGGGTGTTTTGTATTGGAGAGTATTTTTTTTTGTTTTCAGTCTACTGCACAACATTTAAATGGATTTTGGTAGGCCCACTATCAGAATATGATTAGTCAAATTTTTTTAGCATGTAACTGTCAACTTTGCATGTAGTTATGTATGAAGTTAACCATCTAAAACATTGTATAGCTATCTTATTCTTGCCATTAAGTTTCTTTTCTTTGTCTCAAACTTTAGGTGTCTCAGCACTCGCCCAGGTGAGACGGGTATGGATGTGACGAGCCGTTGCACCCTGGGAGACCCCAACAAGCTGCCAGAGGGGGTTCCTCAGCCAGCCCGCATGCCTTATGTCTCAGACAAACATCCACGGCAGACTCTTGAAGTCATCAACCTCTTGCGCAAGCACCGAGAGCTCTGCGATGTTGTACTTGTGGTTGGTACTAAGAAAATCTATGCACATCGCGTCATCCTTTCTGCCTGCAGCCCTTACTTTCGGGCCATGTTCACAGGAGAGTTGGCTGAAAGTCGTCAGACAGAGGTTGTTATCCGGGATATTGATGAGCGAGCCATGGAACTACTGATAGACTTCTCATACACCTCACAAATCACGGTAGAAGAAGGCAATGTGCAGACCCTTCTTCCGGCTGCTTGTCTACTTCAACTCGCAGAGATTCAGGAAGCTTGCTGTGAATTTTTAAAGAGACAGCTTGATCCATCCAATTGCCTGGGTATCAGAGCCTTTGCTGATACACATTCATGCCGAGAGTTGCTGAGGATTGCAGATAAGTTTACACAGCATAATTTCCAAGAGGTAAGCTAAAGACATGGGTCAGATCTATACATGCATGGCTTCTCCAGTAAACTCCTTGGGTTCTCTCAATAGTAAAGGTTTTTAAGTGAGCATGGGTTTCAGTTTGCATTCCTTTCCCCATTTATCCAGTTCTAGCTTTTTCTAATCAATTAACCAAGGTGTTCATGTGACAAGATACTGAGGACTGACTTCGCAAACGTGTATAGATCTTGCAGGGAAGTGTGTGTTTGTTTTTTTTTGTTTTTTTTCAGCAGCTGTTTGTTTGATGTCTTTGCTGAATGACTGAAGTGATGCTGCGATGACGGCTAAATGACACATTCTCCGCTCCCAAAAACACTATTGCGCATACATGCCACAATATACTTTTCTATTTCTGTTATTTACTCTGCACTTACAATTGTTGTTTGTCACGTCATTTATCATTGGTGCTATAACGTGTCCTTTGTTGAGTAATTTACCCCCTTTTAATTTTTATTTTTTATTTCCTATTTGTTTTCCTTCAATGATCCTCTGTTTTTGAATCCCACACTATCCCGTGAGTCACAGGTGGATTTCAAATCCGTAGTTGTTGGGGGCTCTGTTGGTCCTGAAATGCAGGTTTCTGTTTCATGAGTAAGGGAGGTGTTCTGTGTGCGAGTGTAGCTCTCTATATATGCAAATCTATTTAGAGATCAAATTGAACTAGGATTCTGATAGGCACGTTCCAATTCACATGCCATTTCAGGACTGACTGCAACTCAGGAAGGTGCAAGCAATTATGGGGACTCTTTGGCTGCTGGTAAATATTTCAGGGGATTGGCTGGTTTTGCATTTTGACCTATACAGGAGTCTTTCCTTTTCAGTTAATGCACTGTACTATTATACTAATGTAATCCTACTTGTATAGTAAAATGCATTTAACCTATAAGCCTTGTGTTGATTTGAATTGCAGTTTTGCTAAAACCTTTCAGAATGTAGCATTTTTCATAATTCTTTGCTTTGTCAATGGGGGGGGAGGGGGGGTTATTTTTAACTCAAAGGATTAGTTGTGTACAACTTCTAATTTATAATGTGTCCCTCCTTTGAATATGAGTTCCAATTGGTGCTGCTCACTTTTCCATATGTATAAGATGGAAATAAACACTGGCAATTATTAAGATCATAAAATGTTATATTGCTTTTGTGAACTATGAGTGCCAGCAGATGTTAGTTTAGTTCTTTGTGTAACATTTTGCTAATTAAAGTGTTAAGTGCTGCATTTATGTATGTGTTGCAATACATATTTTGTGTTGTGTGTAGTTTTTGTTTTTGTTTTTTTTTCCTTCAAATTGAAACCTATCAAATATATTAATTGTAGTTGCTAAAAAGCTTGTGATCAAGCTATACTGCAGAAATAAAGTATGCTGTGCTATGTCAGTCATATTGACAGTGTATGTCTGTATGCGTATTATATTTCCGTTGGGCCCTTTGTATTTATTTTAAGGAAAACCAGGTGGCATCTTGTGTTTCCATTGCAGGTTTTCTTTCATGACTTATAAACCTCACATCAACTCTCGAGGTCAGTAGTATAAGGTGACTTAGTAGCTGTGCTTTTCTCTGGGTCCCAAACTAATCATTCTGACTTTTGTCCCTCTGTTGGGGCAGACATTTATTGCTAATCCGTTTCTCGCCGGTCCTTGCCCCACTGATCACATCTGAGCAAGAGCTCTCTGCTATTGCAGAAACTTAACTCCCTGTTCTTAAAGCTGATGAAGCATCATGGGAGTTGTAGTTCTGCAACACTTGAGGCTCTATCATTTGGCCATAATGCTATTATGACATAGTGAAATAGAAACTAATAATGAACTTCACAGTTGTGAAACAAGCAAAATTGTATTAGTCAGTATACATATTAATATGGACATGCAACCTACCCAGAGGAACCCTGCACTGAACTCTTTGGAGGATAGAGACTTGTGTTTGGTTTATTTTTTATGCCTTTATACCCTTGGTTGGTTAATGTCTGTTCAGAGCGCTTACAAAGAAGGTCAGAAGGTATTGTATTGCAAAGACTTTGTGAAGGGCTGACATGCACAGATTGGTCATTCCAACCATAGCAGAAGTGAAATCCCCAGCTTATTTACATAGCCATGCTTTCTTAATTGCCTAAATGTTCAATGTTTGCAGATATCACATATAATGATTTACTTATGACCCTAATTGAGTTAAATAACCTCTTAGGGATATTAAAAGCAGTGCAAATTGATGTATAACTTTGCATCCAGCATTAAAAAAACTTTGTATCAACACATGATTATTAAAACGGAACTAAAAAATTTTATTGAAATTATATTATTGCATGAAACTTTGAATAGCACCTTTTTTTTTAACTTATTTTTGAATCCAAGTACCGGAAGGCTCCCCCAAATTTGTAAGGAGTCAAATGGTTTATCAGTGGTTTGACTTCTTACGTGGGCCTGCCAAGTGCTTCTACTCGCCACCACTACCAACCCTGGAGAGACTGGCGTTCCTAAGCTGAGAATGTTCATTTGAGTGCTTCTGACAAATACCAGACTAATTTAGTAAACTGCACTAAAAATACAATTATAAAAATGGGAAGAAAAGGCACAAACTGTCGGCAACATTTTGTCCCTCATTGTTCCAGCTTCTAACCCTTTCTTTTTGCTCACTGTTTGCTGACTGCCAAGTGCAAAGGGCATAGCTTATAACAATAATTGACAGAAATCCAAGATAAAGGTGCAGATGCAGGATAGAACGCAGTGGTCAGTATTCCTACCTTCCCTTTTTATTTTTTTTTATTTTGTCAGACTTCACAACATAATTTAATTTTATTAAATATAAGGTATTCATTATCCTATTATAAATTCTGGGAAGTGAGAGATGGCCAATATGTACACATGTTTGTTTGTTTGTGTATATATATATATATATATATATATATATATATATATATATATATATATATATATATATATATATATATATATATATATATATATAATTAAACTGTTCAAGAAACTAAAAATTTAAAGTGGATATGTCATTTTCTCTGCCCCTTCCTTCTGCCCCATAAACAGGATTTCATAAAGATACAATTACAAGTAAAGACTACTTTGTCTTGTATATGTAGCTACCACCACCAGTTTTGTCACATCACCCAGCTGCGGGGAAAACACATTGTTTTTGAAGGATCCCATGCTCTCGAGCATATGCATGTGCAAGAATAAAACACTCATGTAGGCTTCTGGCAGATGAAGCACCAGGAGCTGAAGAGGAATACTATGGCGGGCGATAGGGTTAGGTTTAAGTAAAACACTTCTTCTCCTGCACCCAGTCTCCACCCAACACCAAGGTGAGCAATCGGGTCATTACATCCTCAATCAGATGTTCACCAATCTTTCTTCTTTGCAGAGCCTCTCTCTTCTTTGCAGTGATAAGTAAACCTTTTATATAGCTGCAAAAGTTACATTGTATCACCTTTAGCGGTCAGATGATTTGCTGCATCTTCTCCTCCATGATGCAACCATGGAGGTTATGTATGGAAGGGACAATGTTCAAAAAGTGTTTCTAATCCGTATTTGCATTACACATACTGCCCTGGTTATTGCTCCTGATTAGTAACTGCTGTTGTGTCAGTGTGAGTTGCTTGAGTGGATGAGAACATTTTAGAAATTGTAGATTATGGTAACGTAGTGTACCTCTAATATTAATTTAAGTAATGACAGGAGGCGAATATTTGCATAACTCTCTTTACTGAAAATCTCCAGCAGCACGAAAACAGAACAACAAATCAGAAAAAAAGTCAGGTGATACATAAAAAGCCCTGGCAGTCTCTTCACTTCCTCTTTCTTTGTAGCGAATATTAAATGGGTAAAAATCGTAACAGAAACCCCTTTCTGGAGTGAAGGAGAAACAGTCAACATTGGCGGACCATGCGAAAATATAGCATTTCCTGGTACTGGGAGCCCATGAATCCCATAAAAGGTCCTTAGCCGATTGTGATAGTCTATGGACTGACCAGGATCCCCTGAAATCGTCCAGGCCACTAGATCCAGCTTCTGATCTAGCACGAGGGGATGAGCTTCTCCCCGTGGTGCCGTCAGAAGTAGAGGGAATGTCGGTAGGAGAAGAAATTTGTGGGGCATTTCCAACAAGTCTGGAAACCATGCCTGGCTCTGCCAAAGTGGAGCTATGAGAAGTAGAGGTGACGGAGCATCCTCGCTATCATGGAAAACAGAGGGAATGCATATGCCCTGTGAATCGGGCATGTTTGTAGGAATGCGTCAACTGCTTCGCAATTTGGATCTGGGAGCCAGCTGTAGTGGTTCTGAAGTTGGAGATTGGTCCATGAAGCAAATAGATCTACATGTAATGGGTTCTTCAAATGATTAAATTCCTGCAAGATCGAGACATTGAGGTTTCCAATCGCTGTTTTCTCGCAAATGGCGTGAAAACCAGTCTTCCGTCAGGTTGGCAATTCCCGGCAGGTATTCCGCTTGAACCGTGATATCACGAGAGAGACAAAACTTGTATATGTCCTTCGTGGCCTCTGTGAGAGCCTGGGATCTGGCCCCACCCAGGCGGTTGATGTATTGTAGCGCCGAGATATTGTCCTTGTGGAGCAGAATGCAGCAGTTTGACATGTCCCTGGCCAGGCTGCGGATGGCTAAGGACCTCGCAATCAATTCCAGGCAGTTGATGTGGAGATCGGTCTCTTCTCCCTGCCAAGGTCCCCCAGTGGAGGAGTCTGCGCAGTGGGCGCCCCAGAGGCCGGCTTCTGACTCCACAATGAAATCCGGGGATGAGGCAAAAATCGCTTTGCCATTCCAGGCTTGCATGTGAAGGAGCCACCAACGGAGTTCTGTCCGAACGTCTGCTCAAAGTGAGATGCAGTGGTCATAGGAGTGTCCGGAGTGTACGCATCTCCCCTTCAGGCGTTGCATGGCCCTGTAGTGTAGAGGTCCCGGAAATATCGCTTGGATGGAGGAAGATAGGAGTCCAACAATCCGAGCGAGCGTCCTGAGGGAAATCG